GTGTGTGTGTGTACCTGTGTTCTGCGGACCCTGATGATCCAGGTAGGAGGAATGATGACGGCAGCGTGAGCTCCCAGAGAGCAGCACTCCTCGATCTGCTGCAGCATGAAGCACGTCACCTTGTTGTGATACTGAAACACAGACAGGAAGTGACCTCGCTGTGATACTAACAGCGCTACAATGCAGAACTGTAGCAACGGCATGTTAGCATTGTAATTAGGAGCATGTTAGCACACTGATGTAGCCAATAGTCAAGTTGACATTTAAAATGGGGCCTTATGGAGTTGACTCACAGCTGGAGGCAGACTCTATTGGCCGTTAGAGGAACTACATGCGGTGGAACCAAGGACCATGTATTGTTTATTATGTGTGTTATTGCTTATTTAGAAACTGTCATTTCAAGTTTCCAATCAGATTTAGCACAATATTTAACCATTATGAAAAAGTGAACCACTACTGTAGAACTGTTGTTGTCTTTCAGCCGGACTTACCGCCTGTTTGCACCACGAGCAGCTGATTGCAACAATCTCTTTACTGTGAAATGAGAACTTCTGTTGAAATCCCTGTTGGTGAGAACAGAAGAGACTCCGTTAGCTCTCAGGCTCTGTGTCATCTGAGTGGAAACGTTACAGCAACTGATGGAGGCTCACCTTCCCACACTGTCGACACTTCCCCGTTTGACGTCTCCTGTGGACCCAGTGGTGTCGCACAACGTTGGACTGAAACACAAAAGCGTGTTAATAATTTCCCACAATCCATTGTGTGGATTATAGCAGCTATTAGAGAGTCGACATGGCGGCACAAATGAGTTGACCGACCTCTCGGACGGCTCGAGATCCTGGTTCCCTGAACGACGGCTTGCACCTGAAATTAATCTGCAGAGAGAGACGAGACTGTGAGAAGAGACTAAATTAAAATCTGTGAGTGAATCCAGAGATGATCCAGAGTTTACCTTCTCTAGCTGCTCCATGCACATGGTGTGGACGGATATCTTACATCCAGCACATTTCTTCCTCGCCACTGACTTTTGCTGCAGAAAACAACAACAGATTTCTTGATGTATATACATGAAATTTGCATTAGAGCACTAGCATCTCAATAGGCGCTACGTCCCAGCGCTCCCACAGTATTTATTCAGACATACTCCACCGTCTTGTTTGGTCTTTCAAGAATGAACCAACTCAGTGTTGGTGAAAATAAATCCTTAATTGTATTCTGTAATAGTCATTAAAATGACTATGGATGTTGTCATTTTGCTTATTTCATTCCTGCTGTACAATTATTATTATTCCATTAACGTACTGAAGCTCAAAGCTGAATTAACCTTCTTAAGATTCATTGTACACTTTTAGTTATTAATGGAAAAATGAACTGTATCATTGTTATATAACTTTAAATATTGTTGGGAGAGTTTAAATATTTTGTTTCTTAGTAAAGTGAAGTGAAACACAATGTTCATCACCCAGTAATTTCTAACAGGCTCAATGTGTTTCTGACCACAGGGGGCGCTGTCACTCACCAGTGATTTGGCGATGCAGTACTGCTCTCCAACATAACAGAAGTCTCCAGACCCACTGGTCTCAAACCAGATGTGGTCTCCGAACTGGGCGTTGTCCTGTGAAAGATACCGACAGTCAATCAAAGAAATTAACAATAATAATCTAATATATAATATACTATTATATACAAAGTCAAATATAACAATAAACTAAAAACCTTTAAATATTAATTATAAATGTGTCTTAAATAATGTTTGCTTTAAAGCAATGGGGGGGTAACAGTTTGAGTTTTTGAGGCTTCCTAAGCCCCGCCCCCTTCTGCTTTGTGCTTCCAATCACAGCCTCCGGCCATCTTCCTCTTTCCTGTACTAGATATGCTATATGCTCTATGTTGGAAAGACAACCACATTTTGGAAATGGTTAAAACATAAAAGAGACATTATACATAGTCACATCTGACAGCCAATATTAGCAAAACAGTAGCTAACTAGATAGCCAATTTACTGGCTAATTGTTAGTTAGCTAATCTACATCAATCTTAAAACAGCGAGTTACATCTGACAGCTAATGGATGCTGTAGAGACAATACTCAGAGCAGAGCGGAGAGGCGGCATAGCACATTAAAAGTATTAATAATACATTAAAATGATACGAAATACATTTCAGTATTAATAATAAATTAGCTGGTGAGTTAGTTAAACGATGAGTGACTCACGCTCCAGTCCACGGTGCTGTTGGGTTCCTGCAGCGCGTCGGTCGATCCGGACGTTGAGACGTTGGGCTGAGCCGCCGCGTGCTGCAGACCCGACTTTGCGATGGCTTTCCTGAAAACAAAGGAACAGAAAAAAACCTTTTAAGGAACCAGTTGAACATATTATTAACTGTGCGTCTTGAATAAATTAGATTGAAAAAAGATTTTTTCTAATTGAGCTGAATAATCTCCACACTGTGGTTGTTGCTATGGTTACAGTAGTGATAAAACTGTTACCTGTCAATCAGAAGCACATATTCTGTGTTATGATGGTATATTAATAATATATGACGGTACACTTGTAGTCACCTGCTCAGACACACAGAAACACGCGACAGAACAGCTCCGTTGTTAAGGTTCACAAACCTTAACAACGGAGATGATCAGCGTTCGCTCAGTGAGTCATTGTTAGCGCCAGCTGCTAATGAGCTTCAGCTCCATGGAGGATGTTTGTGTCTGCAGCAGAATCTCTTTAGACTGATTTATATTTATGTTGAGCACTTTTTACAGTTTGATGTGAATGAACCTTTCCAGACTTTAATAAGTTAACAAACCACTGCCCCGTATGTAAAACACATTATTACAGACAACATTCAACATCAAGCGCTAACACATCCAACAGAAAACAGGAATGCCCAGGCAGGATATAAGGTATATATTTAGGTGTATAAGGCTAATACATATACAACAGAACACCCAGTAATTATAAAGACCTTGTTTAAAATATTATTGTTTACTAATTTTTAAACCATTTCTTGATGACTTTCAGCTAGCTGTTTTAGCTATTTGAATCGTTGACCTTGAGCTGATCGCTGCATTCATATATTGTGGGTGCATTTTGTTTGTACTGGTGTTTCCCCCCCAATCACTGAAGGACTGGATCAATAACGATTAGATGACTGATGATTGACAGGAACTTAGAGCACCTCCTTTTTAAGATTTAGGAAAGAGCCTCATACAGGACGAATAACCAAACAGATCAAATATACCCTCATGTGAATATAAATAATTAATGAATAAAATCAGTGACATTAACACTCGGCTGACTTTACATACAGCAGAAAGCCACTCCAGCTCTCCAGTTGGGAGTCGTAGGCATGGGGCCCCAGCGAGCTGAGGGCTCCTGGGCCCCTGTAGAAGGCCGCGTGGTTGAGGTAGTAGACTGAGCTCTTGCGACTGGGCAGCGGGGGCCCTCGTCCTGGCCAGGGGCTCCCGACCTTTGAGATGGTGGAGATCCTTCTCCTCTTCCTCTGGCTGGAGGCCCGGTAGCGGCTGTAGGGAGCAGAGTCTCCTGTGAACACCTGAGAGGAGTTCCTCCGGAGGCAGCGAGGGGCCCTGATGAGGGGCCGCGACGTTGACGGAGGCTGGGGGGTTTTCCTCATCACCTGCAGGGCGGTGGAGGAGGAGGGAGTGGAGGTGGGGGAGAAGTGCTGATCAGGAGAAAAGGAGGTGTCGTCCTCCTCCTCCGCCAGCTCCTCCGCCTCAGACAGCTGGCTGTCCTCTGATTGGCTGTCGTTGGCGGTGGAGTTATCGCTACCATCGTCGTCTCCGTCTGAGGGGAGGCTGCTGGAGCGTGAGAACATCCTCCTGTTATTGGCCTCTCCCCTCATCTCCACCTGCTGCTCTCCAGCCGGTAGCCCCGCCCCCATGCCGTCCTCCTCGTCCTCCTCGTCTTCCTCAGCCATCTGGATCAGACTGGCCAGCAGCATGGACGGCCCCAGCAGGTGGGTGTCAATGGTCCGCAGCTTCCCCACCTTCTTCCTGCACACGGCGAACCTCGGGTTGACGTTGGGGGTGGTAGTGCTGGAGCGTCTGCGAGTGTGTCCCCTCCACCTGTTGCGTCTGGGTGTCTTTGCCAAACGGCCGCCTCCCGCACAAGGCAGAAGCCCCGCCGGGAGCTGCACGCTGGAGCGCCGCCGCTGGGTCAGGGTGGAGGAAGGGAGTCCGACACTGGACCTCCGGCGCGCCTTGCTGGTTGGGACGGCCACGCTGGGCCTCCGCTGGCGGCAGGATTCCTCCACCTGCAGAACAGCTTCCTTCCTCTTAAAGTGACGGCGGAAAAAAGTGTCCATGTTGGACGGAGGGGGGGGGGGGCAGACTTCTGAAATCCTCTCTGGCTGTTGGGTGTAAACAGGAGTTAGCCTGCAGCGCAGAAGCTGTTCACACTAGAAATCAACGACACATAAATTATCTTTCTCTCCGGGAGATAACGTTTGTTCATCCATCAAAAACAGAAATACTTCCTACAGAGAGCCGAAGTGAAACTGTGACTCCTCCAGAAAACTTACTCTGAATTAGAGCGATCCCCGAACAGTCGATTAAACCATCCTTCAGACCGTCGCGGCTTAAACTAGACTGAGTGTCTGTGTTTAGGTCAGATGAGCGTTAAGGTTATGGAAGAAACCGAGTTACGATGGCGCATGATGAGAGCGGTAGTTATTCTGTGCTCAAAGTAATTGTTTAACTTCTGATTCGTCTCAGAATATAGAAAATAAACTCCAGGAACACAAATACAACACTGAAATTGGGATCCCACGGGATGCAAATCTCACAGGAGTGGGCGGTCAAAAAACAACAAACTGCAGCCTCTGGATTTATCTGGTCTCCATCAGAAGGGGGCAGAATTAACAAATAAAGCTGAGAGGAAGAGAAAAGTTAAATTTTACAAAACAAGCCAAGTTTGGTATTTAGAGATGTTCCTCAGTTGTTCAGTAAAATAAATTCTGTTCACCAGCAGGACGGGAGGAGCGAGGCTAGACAGGAAGTGACGTTACGACTTCGGCTCTCTATAGAAAAACTGGACCACTTCGCTTTTATGACCCGGTTACGTTATTTTATATAGACTGTAACGGAGAGCCTAAATGTGCCGGTACTCACCAGTACTGAGTACCAGCACCAAACCACCCCCACACATTGACACTTGCCTTTTTAAAATGTATAAAAAACAGTAAAAAAATTACAGTTATGGTGACGTTGTGGTTGAGATTGTGCTGAATTAGGTTACTGGCACCATTTTTGGTCCAATACAGGAACTGTTAAATAAATAAATAACACTTTATATAAAACCCCAATAAATTAATAACCCCTAAAATCTTTCTTCTTTTCCAGAATTAAATAAATATTGACAATGGCCTTTAAGAGTTCAGCTCCTCGTTGTTAAACACAAACAGGTCTTTGTCTCATGTTAAGTTGTGTCTTTGTGTTACTGAGGTATCAGATCACTGCTTCAACCTGAAACATGAATTATAAAACACTCAGAGGAAGAGCGGGGGGTCCTCTCCACAGGGGGAGCAGCACGACGACAGGAAGGAACAATAATTAAGGCCCCGGCTACCTGCTGGCTTCTCGCCCTCCAAACAACAACATTACACCAGTAATTAGTCTGTGACGACAGCGACCAAACAGCACCAGCAACGTCCTGTCTGTCCTCCACCAACAGACTGACCACACAATGCCTGTACGCTGATAACTATAAACGGATAATACGGTTCATTTGTTACAGCAGACAAAGCAACCGACCCCAGCTTAGCTTAGCTACAGTTAGTTGGCTGGATGCCCCTACCTCGCATCACTCTTGGCTAGTACGAAGCTATCATTAGCTTTGTACCGTTAGAATTTATTGTTAATTGTCAGAATACATAAGTTGGTCTCATGGATCACGTTGGCTTGGGAAGCTAACATTAGCCAACTAACATATCCACTCAGATAGCATTTTGCTAGTAAAAAAGTTAGCGAGCAAGCTAACATTAGCCAGCTAACAGCCCAATCAGACAA